CCCAGGCCTGATTTGCCACTGCCCAAGACTTGACCATCCTCCCCTAATCAGATCTTGTGCAGTTGCCATGGGCTGGGGGCATTGGGGAGAGGCTTGGAAAACACCCAAGCAACTGGACACGTGTAGGTAGTGAGTGAATTGGAGTGAATGGTGTAGGATTCGGTAGGGACAGCACTGGGTTAGCTCTCAGGAAACTTGGGCTCTGCTCTACCACTCATCTCTAGCTTGAAACGCTTTGTTTAGGAAACATCCACTGGGGCACAGTCCCTTTCCACAAGGAACACATACCTCGAAGGAGAGACAGGCATCAATACCGCTGATTGGAGCTCTTACAGAGACATGGCTATGAGAGTACCATGGCTCTCACAGAAGCAGAAAGAGCTGGGGAGCCTGGGGAGTTTTAGAAGAGGAGACTGAGGGGTTGGGAGACAGCTGTGTGACAGAAGCCATACTTGAATTTCCCCGGACCTTGCGTTACCCTCTCTGTGAGAAGAAGGATGCTGACCTCCAAAATGTCTTCCAAGAGAAGGGATATTAGACTGTGAAGGGGCTGTGGGATGCATTGGGGAATTGGGGAGATCAAGGACACTGCTTTTAGGAAAACAGAACATGTGGGTCTAAGCAGTGGGAGCCAAGAGCCAGGCGTCCCTGGCTGGAAAGGAATCAGGGCCAGGAGGTAAGCAGGGATTTCCTTTCTAGGTTTATGTGCAGGAGAGGAAGCCCATTGGGGCTTGGGAAGGAGGTGGTGAGGGTGAGTAACTAGTCCCCAAATTGCTCCTGACTGGCAACATCCATTCTATTCTGGGCAGGCCTGAGCCCTGGTCCTGCTGGGAGGCCTGAGGCAGTCCCTGCCTCTTCTTCTGGCCTGAGTAGTTCCACCTTCAAAAAGGCCTGAGTTCTAGGGCCAAGCCTGCAGCCCCTATTTCCTCTACCTCCTTAATATCTTTCTGAAGACTGGAAAAATCAACCGGAATTTATCCTGCATACACAGGGGCAGCTTGTTCCTAATACAGCTGAGTCAGGCATGCAGAAAGTATTAAGGAGTGAATGGTCCCTGTACAGCTGGCCCAGGGCTTGCCCTGGAATTTGGCAAAGTCCCCTCTTCTCCCATGCAGCCTCTGAACAGAGAAAGGCTGAGGCCCCCAAATAACCCAGGGCACCTGGAATAGGAAGGCTGAGACCCTAAAGAAGGTGGAATACAAACTCAGAGAGGCCCAGGCTTCTTTCTCTGAAGGAAGCCAGGATAATAATCACCAGATAGCACTGCAGTTTGTAAAGTTTGCTCATCCTTTGAAACAGGTGAAAGCAACCTGAGAGAAGGAGGGAAACATTTAAGCACCTACTAAGTGTCAGGCACTGAGCTAGCTTGGAAGAGGAAGAAAAGACACTGTCTTCCCTCAAGGAACTTTGTAAGATCTGTAAAGATATAATAAGTATAGTGAGGTGTGACAAAGGCTGTAAGCGAAGGTGAGGGTGTGGTGGACTGGATGTCCTGGAGGGAAGAGGTAAATATAATTTGACACACGATTAGCAGGAAGTCCAGGGAAGGGAGAAAAAGGACATCCTAGCCAGACAGCAGTTAAGGGGAAAGACACTGATATGTGAAAGAGCACAGTGAAATCTAGGGACTGCAAAGCCAGGCACTGTGTGTGATAGATAAGGGGGTGGGTGAGAAATGAGTCTGGAGAGGTGGGCAGGACTCCTCTGAGAGACTAAGGGCTGTAGGGGAATTCAGTGATGAACTAGACAGGCTCCACATGCTCATGGAATGGGCTCATGGGGACAGAAGACAGACACACCAACAGTTAAATGACAGTCTAGGAGAAATCATACTTGTCTTCTCATCAGGTGACAGGACCAGTGGTCATGGGCATGTAGTCAACAAAGTTGCTGGAATTGACAACCTTTTCTGACCTTCTTGTCAACAAGTTGAAAACATGTGGGCTGCCTGATACTTTGGTTAGGCAGAATTCTAGCTGGTTAGATGAACTTCCCCAGAGAGTAATGGCTATGGGTTGAGGACAACCAAGGAAAATTTTTAGTTTGAAGCCTCAGGGGCTTTTTTTTTTCTTTCACTTTTTATATATCACATGGTGAGGGAACAAATTATAGCACTAGGTTACTTTTCTTACCAACAAGCCAACAGGATACACCTGAATCACAGCAAAATGACAATAATAAAACTCACAAATAAGCTTCCAGAAAAAATGACTGTATCATACACTTTTAAATATTGAAAATCATTTAAATCCCAAATTTACAAAAATTTATTTTAATGTTCAAGTGAGATTAGCTTATCCTCAGGAAAACACTGGAGACAGCAGAAGTGAAACCTTTGGACCAGAAGTGTTTCCACGGTGAAGGAGGTAGCTCTTTTCCCGCTGGTTGGTGCAAAGAGATAAAAGATGCTTCAACCATCTTTCCTAGGCACTCTGCCTCGCCTTACTTTCATGTGTGTCCACTAACATGTTTTCATTACAGTCTCATCGCTGTTAGTTCAGTTTGTTTCATTGTAGAGTATTGCTGAAAGCTGCCACTTTGGGAGAATCTGCTGGAGGGATGGTGGGAGAGACCATGACACTGCTCCTGCCTCCCCTTCTCCTCCTGTTCCCCCTCCACATTTCCATCTCAGGCACCTAGAAGTTTACACCAGGCAGAACTTTCCAGCAATTAGAGTTCTTAAAATTGGAATGGTGGTGGGTGGTGAACTTCCTGGCCCAGGATGTGGTCAGATGGGGCTGGCTGGTCACCTGCAGGAAGCAAGGACACTGGTGTGAGCAGTGGTCTCTCCTGACGTTAAGGCCACGATTTCATGAATCAGATGCCTGGTGCAATCAGTTTGAGTCAAAGGAGTTCATACTGGGGTGATATCAATGTGCTTTCAGGGAAGGCTTCCTGAAGGAAAGCATAACTGCTTAAGCCTGGTGGTGAAGGTGACTAAGCTGCATCCATCTGTGAGGCAGCACCAAACTAAGGAAGAAGAAAGCTCAGAAGGGCAGAGGTGCAAGAAATCCTTGTGCCTGAGGTTGAAGTCTCCAAGGGGGTGGGTTACTGAAGTCGGGGCTGGGTCTGAATCAGGCTCTACCATGTCCTAGATGGAAAGGCTTGGACAAGTTACTTCACCTTGTTCGTTGAGCCTTGGTTTTCTCATTAATCACCTGGAGCCATACCTACTTCACAGGGTTTCTCTGTACGTCATATAAGAGTTACAAAGCATGGAGTCCAGGTTATGGCACCTGCAGGGGTTCAGTAAATGATAATTTATTTCATTCCTCTTCTTTCAACCACCAGTGTCAAGATGTTTCTCATTTCTCCCCTCTGGGCCTGTTTCTCTGGGAGGTTGGTGCTGGGTGCTGCGGCCGGTGCTGCGGCGGGAGCTGACTTGGCAACCTCAGCTGGGGCGCAGCCTTTCCCTCCGCATACTGCGGGAGGCGCCTGGGCAGGATGTGGGAGCTCGCCAGTGCAGACAGGTATTTCCAGTCTGGCCAGAGAAGAAATGGGCGGAGGTGGGGCTGGGGATTGGGGAGGAGATTAGAGGAGGCGCTGAGTGGATCCTCTAGGAGGAGGGCGGGGAGTTCTGCTCCCTGCCGAGTGCTCCTTCCCCACGCTCAGATTTCAACACTAGCTGCTGCCTCTGTGGGTTAGGGGAGGGGAGGGAGTCGAAGGGAGCGCACGCCAGAAGGAGGGCGTGCACGGAGCTAGCGCAGGGCTGGCTCCTGAGACCCCTGGAGCAAGGGCTCTGAACCGCACCGCCTCTGTAAGGGTATCTAGTCATTTCCAATGCCTCAAACTTCCTGGATCCCTATATTGTTAATGCAGGTGCCTTAACATTTCATTACTCGCCCTGCCCCTCCCCAATACAAATATTTTTTTAAATGCATCCAAAATTTCTATTTTCTGCCTGGGAATGAAAGACATTTAAGGTCTTCCATTTTCTGTAATGACAATCAGAGTTTTTTTGGAACATAATTTATCAGTTCAAAGACAACTAGCTTCTGTGCTTACAAGTAAAATACGAGAAAGTTGCTTTGAAATATGGATGCTAAAGAGTTTGCTAGAGTCATGCACTAGTGGAGGGACTGATTCTTATAGACAATGATCCAGTGAGCAGAGTTCAAATCTGTGTTTCAGCCAAAGTAAATGTTAGTAAATCATGGACTCACCCAATCACCTGAGGATACTGAAAGCAAAAATGTTAAATCTGTCATTGCCAAGGTTCTACAGAACAACAGCAAACTTCCTGTTGCCCAAAGACCTATATAACAATATCAAAGCTCAAAGCAAATTGGGGGAAGCTCATGCAATCCATTGGATCCCATCAAACAGAATTTCTCAGCCAAAGAGCCCAGACCATTTATCGGAAGTTTTTTGTTAAATGTATAGCTTTCTTTGGATTGTGATGATAGCAGGACAACTGCATACATGACTAAAAAAATAAAATCATTGAAATATGCACTTTCAATGGTTTAATTAAGGGTATATAAATTTTACCTCAATAAATATGTTAAAAATAAAAAAAATATATTTTAAAGACTCAACTCCTGGGCCCCATCCCAGATTCAGAGGTAGGTGTGTGATAAAGTTTAGGAATTCACAGTTCTTTTTGTAAAGAAGCTAATAATTATTCTGAGGACTGATGTTTAGGCTAAATGTTCTAAATTACATCTTGAATTAAGCTGGACCACCAGAAAGCATCACTTGCCCATGTTACATCTGCAATAATTTCACTGAATTGCTGTTATCAAGAATGCCATCGGTAAGAAATGCCACCAGCAAGAAATAACACTCATTTGCCTTAGGATATTTAGCTATCATTCAACACTCCTCATAAGAGGGAGGAG